GAACAGATGTGTGTGTATATGCTTTGCATGATTCCCAGGGACCAGAGGGGGCTGAAGTGAACACCACCCAGTTTCATTTTGTTTTAATATCAATAGATCCTAATGCAGTAATGCCTATTGATCTGGCATCAGGGGAAGGCAATGAGCTACAGGAGAGGATTTTCTAGAAACTGAAGCTGTCCTCTATGCCATGACTGTCTCCTTCCAATATTATAGAAGGGAGGGAAGGGATGTCATATCACAGAAGACAAGAGTTCAAGCCTTGTGGTCTGACTGGTAGAGTTCAGATCTCAGTTTTGTCTTATGCTGGTCTTGGACTTGCCCTTCCCAATTTGTAACCTAACTCACAGGAAGAAAGAAGTCATTGCCAGGGAATGTCTTTGGCATGAGTCTGGTACTTCATAAGTGCTCAAACATCAGCTCTTAATTCTTACTATCAGAGGCACTATATAAACCATTGCTGTCTTAAATGGAGAATACACACACAGTCCTGCCTACTGGAATTCTCCATCAGCCTGAGAATCTGACCGACTAGTACACCGCAGGGTCCCCAGGCTGCTTTCCAATGTTCCCATTTCTCCTCGGGCTCACCGTATCTAATGACAGAGGGTCCACCTCTAGCCTGCTTTCTGATTGGCCTTCATTCATCTACTCTCTGAAAGTGAAAAATATTAGTCGCTCAGTCGTGTCTGATTCTTTGCGACCCCATGGACTGTAGCCCACCAGGCTCCTCTCTCCATGGTATTCTCCAGGCAAGAATACTGGAATATTTCTTTCTCCTAGGTAACTAACTCACCGATCACATTAAAAACTGTATCTTAAATACAACTCAAGACTCTGAATGCATCTGGATTTAGTGCCAGGGTTCTATTACAATCAAATTTAAGAACTCAGAACCTTTATCTGATTTCTAGGTTTGAAAAATTGCACTAGAGTTTGATAAAAGTTTGACTAGGAAATAAAGTATGCTCAGTTAATATTTTTCAACTAATTTGACTAGAACGTAGACTGTAGGAGCCTGAAGGAACATTTATTATGAAGTCTGAAGCCACCAATTTACAGATGGGAGGCTGAGACCCAGGGAGAGCCTGGGGTTGGTCCAAGGTCACATAGTTCTGTGTTGTGATAAAAACCAAAAAGAGAATCCTCTAGGTTTCTGGCATCTAGTTTAGTACTTTTTCTACAAGACCAGGTTATCTTTTTTAATTGAATATTTACTGTGACAGATTTAAGGAAATGCACTACAACTAATTATATTTCTCAACATTTAACCAATTATGCAGCACCCCACAGGCCCTGGGCCCACAGAGTCTTAGTCTCAGTCTCTCGCTGGCCTTTTCTCTGTTGCTGCTTAGGCTTAGTTGAAATAAGGAGTCAGATTGAAGATCAGATGCTGAACAAGTCTGGGGTCAGGGTCCACTTCGGTATGTCCAGAAGGCTACCTCCAAGCCATGTTCTTTTAGGGAGAAGTGGGAAAATGTACCCTCTTAGCCTTAGAGGATAATATATTCAGTTCAAGGGGGAAAAACAGACTTGCAAAAGGCAAAAATAGGAAGATAACTTGAGAAGGGAAAATATCCTGGCCTCTGTGAGTATAAAGAGTCTTCATGGTTACCTGCACCCATTTCTTCCATCCCATCTCATCCTTTCCTCTTCCACTTCTAAAGTTCCAGCAAGAAACAGTGGACACAAGGGCCCTAGAGGCCCAAGGAAAGGTGCAAACCAAGTAGGTGATGTCAGGAAATGGACTGGAACATGAGATTTATATGCCACTGGATAGTATTTCATTTCAGCAAGGAAAGAGGAGATCCTAAAAATACTGCAGAGAGCATATTATAATATTTTAATGGGGTTTATGTGCTCCTCATATACACTTCACCCAGTAAGATGGATTGTGCTTTTTGACGAATCTATATTTAACATGAGGAGAATAATATACAATGTATGCTTCCTGGTGGAGAAATCCATATTTATGGAAGTCGTGATTCTGACAATTACAACAGACATTTAAAGACAGTGCCTACTATTGTCAGCTGCAAAAAGACGGAGTGGCCTCATTAGGGCGAAAGAGAAAATAGTGTGAGCAGTAAAGGATAAGTAGCTAATACAGAGACATCGACCCAGAACAGAGGAGGAGGAAGAGGTCCAGGGTGACCCACCAGCTCCTCCTCATCCCTTACTGCAGGCCATGTGACCCTCTCATCAGCACTCATCTACCATGTCCTGGGTATTATGCTGGCTTTGGGGCATAAATGAGACCCCCTGTTTTCTGGGAATTAACATTGACCTGAGCAGTCACAGATATATACAAGCAAAAAAAAAGAAAAAACTATTTCAAATAATAATCATTCAAGTATGAAAGCTATGATGGGAGATGTGATAGAAATTTATAGAGGGTTGAGGGGAGGATGGAACAACCATCTAGAAGAGGTGATGAAGGAAGGCCAGTCCAGGCAGGAAAGATATGAGCTGAGACACAACTGCTGAAAAGCAGTGAGCATTGCAAAGACATAAGGGAAGGGCGCTGCAGGAGGAGGTGGCCCAGCTAGGGCAGAAGGAGTGAGGAGGCCAGAGAACAAAACAAAGGCCAGTGTGGCTGGAGCAGGGAGCAAGGACAGGGTGTGAGATAGGGGCGCAGAGAAGGGGTTACTCTGGCTCTGAGTCACCATCATTTTTCCTCTGTGCAATGGGAAACCTCAAAACTTTGGAGAGGTTTCGCATACAAGAAAGGGCAAACAATGTGTTCTGTTTTGTTCAATTAAAAGGATCCCTTGGGTTTCTAGGTGGAGGATGGCATAAAGCTGGAGTCCAGGAGGGCCACCGTCAGACACCAGCAGGGAGGGCCACAGAGTAGGTTCAGAGCAGGCATGTGGGGCTCTGGTTTCAGAGAATGGTCAGTCGATGGACTAGACACCTTGAGAAGCACTGAGTACCCAGTAACTCTGTATGCAAGCAGATATTATGAGTTTGGGATTAACATAAACATACTACTATATACAAAACAGGTTATCAATCAGGACCGACTGTATAGAACAGGGAACTGTACTCAATATTCTGTAACAACCTATATGGGAAAAGTATCTAAAAAAGAATCAGTCACTTTGCTACACACCTAAAACTAACACACATTGCAAATCAACTACAGTCCAATACAAAATAAAAATTAAATTAAAAAACATACACAAACACACAAAATAAAGGGCGCCTGCCAGGGTTCCTTAGATGATATGCTGGGTTACACTGGAAGTTAAACACATGGCTTGTATGGCTCCATTACAATCTTTAAGAGAACATCTTGCAAGGGCATGAAGGGAATATCCAGGAAGTAACTGAGAACTGAGACTTGGTAGGCAACTAGGTCCTAGTAGCTAATGGCATTCTTCAATTCAGCCTGATCCAGTGTATCAATTACATGTTAAAATGTATTCACCAACAAAGGGCCCTGGAAGTGTTTGAATTTGGCAAAAATCTGGATTTTTTGGAACAGGATTCCTCTCAATCTTTTATGTGGCTAGTATGTAGCATGAAACTGCAAAGGGAAGACAGGGTTTGCATCATTTCCAAAATGTGTTTACACAAAGAAGTCTTTTCTTTTTAAGGAGCACTTTGTGGTACTATGGAGAAGGAAATGGCAACCCACTCCAGTATTCTTGCCTGGAAAATCCCATAGACAGAGGAGCCTGGTAGGCTATAGTCCATGGGGTCACAAAGAGTCGGACACAACTGAGCAACTTCACTTCACTTCACTTCACTTTTTGTGGTACTAATGTTTCATGGAACACATTTGGGCAATGCTCATGGAGCATAGTTTGAGAGCCCATCTACAAAGGCAGTGTGGGGTCATGAAAGCAGGTGATATGGTCAAGAGAGAATCTAAGAACATCAGCTTTTTCATCTTAAAATAAAACTGATAATACCAAAGTCACACAGTTGTGATGAGAAATGAACAGCCTAACATATACAGCAAAGCGCTCTAAAATACTGTCACCGTGATGAGAATGACTTGTCTACCTCACCATCCATATTAGGACAGTAATTTGGGGGCACTGGGGTTGGCATTACAGTTGGTCACTTCACTGGGGCAAAGTCTAGGAACCCTGTATCACATATTAAAATGAAGTTTCATTGCTGAATGACCTGAACTTGCTCCCATAACTTGGGTCTTTTTTACCATTATAGTCTAACCAGCAGTCTAACTGAACATCAACCAGTGTTGGTAACTTAACTGGGATCTCACAAAATGACTCCTGTGGGGATATTCACACAGCTAAGCTATTACTGTGGCTGATACACCAGGGGGCCTGAAAAATCAGCTAGCAGGATGTACAAACACATGATGAACATCAGCAGGGAAATGTACACTGAAAGCTAAGGGTAGGCTGGGAAAATCAACACTTGTTTTCTTAAACGGGCATCAGCAGCAAGCTGACAGACTCTCTTCCTACAGGCACCTTATTATGCTTTGCCTTGAAGTGATGGGCAGTGTCATACAAAGATCATTAAATTGGGCTCAAGATACCTGCCTAACTCAGATACCGTCTATCTGTGATACCTTGGACATGTTCATTACCTTTCTAAGCCTTGGTTTCTCCCTTTAAAAACTTACCTAGTCATCCTTTTCCTACCTTAATAAGGTTGTTGTACAGATAACATGAAAGAACATACAAAACTGCATTGTATACATTTATAATGAATAACCATGACAACGCTTGGCATGGAAATGGCACCTAATAAAGACTGCTTCAACAGATGGATGGGTGGGTTGGACAGATGAATGAGTGAATGGATGCACAGATGGGTAAAATAGATGGACAGTTAGATAGGTTGGTGGGCTGAAAGGATGGAGGGATAGATTGCCGGAGTGGGTAGAAGGCTAGCTAGATAATAGAAGGATGATGAATTGGATGGATAGGCTAGTGGATGAGATAGTTTTAGAGCCACTGACAACATGCTTGCAGCATCTTCCTCTATTCATTAATTTCTCTCTTCTCCTTTTCCAGTCTGTTCCCAGTTCTCTAAAGGAGTCTATGCCATCTTTGGGTTTTATGAACGGAGGACTGTCAACATGCTGACCTCCTTCTGCGGGGCCCTCCACGTCTGCTTCATTACACCAAGCTTTCCCGTTGACACATCCAACCAGTTCGTCCTCCAGCTGCGCCCCGAGCTGCAGGATGCCCTCATCAGTATCATCGACCATTACAAGTGGCAAAAATTTGTCTACATTTATGATGCTGACCGGGGTAAGCCAGGGGCTAGGGGAGAGAGACGTTGAAGGGATGGAGAGAAAATTACCAGCAGGAAGAAGAATGGGGCCTCCCTGCTTTCTTGAAAGCAGGGAGGAATGATCCAGAAATGCTTTATGTCTGTGGACTGATTTTTCAGTAGCTAATCTGTAACTCACTGTGTGGAAACACATCCTTGGAGAGAATAACCTTTTAACGCACCATGTCACTCTACAGCTCTCAAAGCTTCCATTGTTCCTGAACCCAGACTCAATGTCCAAGGACCTTAGCTGACTGGCTCAGGGTTCAGGGCTCAGGGCTCATGGAATGGCTTTGAGGAGCATATGGAGTCAGACCTGGATCTGAATTCTATGTTCCTTCCTCTCCAGCTGCCTGACTTTAGGCAAGCTCTCTCTGCCTCAGTTTGATCACTTCTGTAATGGGAATAAAATTCTCTATTCCTTCCTTTTTTCATCTCTATAATGAAGATAAAGCCAGTCTCTATCTCATAAAATTGTGAGGACTGAATGACACAGTAGCTAGATGGGCTTGTATGGTACCAACAACACAATCAATGCACAGAGTCTTTTATACATGTTAACCTCTATCAGCATCATCATAGCATCACCATCAACCCTCCCAGGCCTTAGTAATTCTGCCTCCACCTAAATTTCAAATTTTCCATTCCATTTTCTAAATGTGTCCAGTATTTGTTTTTCTTCTCTACATCTTGAATCAGAGGATTCTAGTTTCTGGGGAGCACTTCCCTTTTCAAATCTACATATGAAAATTATTCCTTTTTTTTTTTTTTGCAACAGAGAACACCACTTTCTCTATTTCCTGACCTTCTAAATGGAAACTCTCTTCTTTTCTCTAACTCCTGTGATGGTTGTATTATACTATCCTACCATCCCCTGTTATACTCAATGGTCAAAAAAGAACTTAACCATTATTGGTGTGAATAAATAAGTGGATCATACAAGGTCTGCAAAGTGAGGCACAGAAATTCTGCCCTGTTTAAAAGAGAGGTTTTATAGGGGGTTGCCTTTAGAGATGGAGAAGGCAATGGCACCCCACTCCAGTACTCTTGACTGGAAAATCCCATGGACGGAGGAGCCTGGTAGGCTGCAGTCCATGGGGTCGGGAAGACTCGGACACGACTGAGCGACTTCACTTTCAGTTTTCACTTTCATGCATTGGAGAAGGAAATGGCAACCCACTCCAGTGTTCTTGCTTGGAGAATCCCAGGGACAGCAGAGCCTGGTGGGCTGCTGTCTATGGGGTCACACAGAGTCAGACATGACTGAAGCGACTTAGCAGCAGCAACAGCAGCAGCCTTTAGAGAGGCTTAGGAGATTTTTCAATAGAAGAGTGACTGGCGAAATGTTTTTTCAAGGAAGAGTTAGGCAGGCGTTATTTAAGGAGAATTAGCTGGCAGGGGAGGCCAGAAGCATTCTATTTCCTTTGATTTTCCCTTCTCTTTCCTTATTTGGATGATTTCCCTTGTCAGACAAGCAGGCATTATAAGGATGACCTGCAGAATGGCTATTTCAGGACAACTTGGCAGCATAAATAGGTCTCCCCTGGTGGCTCAGATGGTAAAGCGTCCGTCTGCAATGTGGGAGACCCAGGTTCGAACCCTGGGTTGGGAAGATCCCCCGGAGAAGGAAATGGCAACTCACTCCAGTACTCTTGCCTGGAAAATTCCATGGAGGGAGAAGCTTGGCAGGCTATAGTCCATGGCATTGCAAAGAGTTGGACACGACTGAGCGACTTCACTTTTGTAGCATAATGAGGCTTGAGGTCTAGAAGTGGCAAAGCCAGAAAAATGTCACTTTTATTAGAGGATCATCTCTGGGGTTAATCAGCAAAAAGCGCCCATACTCTAAAAGGGGCTCCACCTACCTCACAACTCTGAGCTCAGAGTTCTGCCATTTTCTAGCTGTGTGACCTTGGGCCAATGACTAAGTCTCTCTGAACCTCCATTTCCACATTTGTGAAACATGGATAACAATGGTACCTACCTTACAGAATTAAGCAAATTGAAGACAGGAAAGCTAATGGACCAATGGCAGACACATAATAAACTTTCAGTAAAAGGAGTACGTCAAGGCTGTATATTGTCACCCTGCTTATTTAACTTATATGCAGAGTACATCATGAGAAATGCTGGGCTGGAAGAAGCACAGGCTGGAATCAAGATTGCTGGGAGAAATATCAATAACCTCAGATATGCAGATGACACCACCCTTGTGGCAGAAAGTGAAGAGGAACTAAAGAGCCTCTTGATGAAAGTGAACGAGGAGAGTGAAAAAGTTGGCTTAAAGCTCAACATTCAGAAAACTAAGATCATGGCATCTGGTCCCATCACCTCATGGGAAATAGATGGGGAGACAGTGGAAACAGTGTCAGACTTTATTTTTTGGGCTCCAAAATCACTGCAGATGGTGACTGCAGCCATGAAATTAAAAGACGCTTACTCCTTGGAAGGAAAGTTATGACCAACCTAGACAGCATAGTAAAAAGCAGAGACATTACTTTGCCAACAAAGGTCCGTCTGGTCAAGGCTATGGTTTTTCCAGTGGTCATGTATGGATGTGAGAGTTGGACTGTGGAGAAAGCTGAGTGCCGAAGAATTGATGCTTTTGAACTATGGTGTTGGAGAAGACTCTTGAGAGTCCCTTGGACTGCAAGGAGATCCAACCAGTCCATCCTAAAGGAGATCAGTCCTGAGTGTTCACTGGAAGGACTAATGCTGAAGCTGAAACTCCAGTACTTTGGCCACCTGATGTGAAGAGTTGACTCATTGGAAAAGCCCCTGATGCTGGGAGGGATTGGGGGCAGGAGGAGAAGGGGACGACAGAGGATGAGATGGCTGGATGGCATCACCAACTCGATGGGCATGAGTTTGAGTAAACTCCAGGAGTTGGTGATGGACAGGGAGGCCTGGCTTGCTGCAATTCATGGGGTCGCAAAGAGTCGGACACGACTGAGCGACTGAACTGAACTGAACTGAAATGTGAGGCTTAAGAACACCAACCTTGTGCTTAAATAAAATAAATAAAGCAAGCAAAAAAGAAACAACAGAATCAATCTACAGATGATTCTTTATGCCGGGCACCATATTGGTCGCTATCAGAGAGATAAGCAATGTTATATGGAGATAGAAATGATATATGTGCACAAGATAGACTAAGAATGCGTGGGTAAAATAACAATTTGTTGCAGGCAAAATTATGACTTCCCCCTCCTTCCCCCACAAAGATACCCATGCTCTAATTCCTGGAACCCCTGAATATGTTATGTTAAATGCAAAAGGCATAAAGGTTACAGATGGAATTCACATTGTTAATCAATTGACCTTAGACAGATTATCCTGGATTATTTGGGTGAGCTCAGTATAATCACAACGGTCCTTAAACATGTAAGTTGGAGGCAGAAGGGTCAGTATCAGAGTATGACATGAGAGACTAAACTAGTCAGTACTCGTTTTGAAGATGGAAGAGGCTATAAACCAAGGAAAGCAGGTATCTTCTAGAAACAGAAAAAGCAACAAAAATTTCCCCTCCTAGAAACTCCAGAAAATAACACAACTCTGACAATAACTTGAACTTAGCCCAGTGAGATTCATTTCAAACATCTGACCTCTGGCAGTTTAAGATGATAAATGTTTTATTTGAAGCCACTAAATTTACAACCTCATGCAAAGAGTTGACTCATTGGAAAAGACCCTAATGCTGGGAGGGATTGGGGGCAGGAGAAGGGGACGATAGAGGATGGGATGGCTGGATGGCATCACCAACTCAATGGACATGGGTTTGGGTAGACTCCAGGAGCTGGTGATGGACAGGGAGGCCTGGCGTGCTGCGATTCATGGGGTTGCAAAGAGTCGGACATGCCTGAGCAACTGAACTGAAATTTACAATAATTTGTCACAGTCGCAGTAGGAAACTAATACACCATCTATGTCCCAAAGATGAAACAAAACAGTATTAAGTCATGGATTCCTCTATCATTTAGCTGTAAATCAGAAAAGAGTAACTTAATTCAGTACATGGTGATCGAATATGTACTGTGTGAGAGGCAAAGTGCTAGGACTTGAGATATACTATACATTAGTAAATGTGGTTGACAGTTATAAGGTGCTATTTAGATATCAGATCAGCACATTTAATAAGCAGTTACTAAAGGCCAAACAGTAATCAATATTTATAAAACCCCTGCCATGTGTGAGATACTCTCATTCAATCCTCATGATGACACTGTGAGGTGGGCGTTATTAATATCACCATTTTACCACTGAAGACACCAAAGTTTCACAAGGTGAATTAATGCATACAAGATCATTTAACCAAGTATATTATAGCATTAGAATTGGAGCTTCAGACTACACTTTTAATCACTAACTATTGCCTCCTACGTTCTGCAGACAGAAACACAGAACAAACACAGAGTCTGCCCAGTCCAGCTCAAACTGGCATAGAGCGAGCTGGAGCTGAGTTTAGTGGAGGAATGGGGAAGGTGGGGGCAATTCCTGTGGATTCTGACCGCCACCTGTCTGTCCTACTCACCCCACCTCCAGGTCTGTCCGTCCTGCAGAAAGTCCTGGACACAGCTGCTGAGAAGAACTGGCAGGTGACAGCCGTCAACATCTTGACAACCACGGAGGAAGGTTACCGGGTGCTCTTCCAGGACCTGGAGAAGAAAAAGGAGCGGCTGGTGGTAGTGGACTGCGAATCAGAGCGCCTCGGTGCTATCCTGGGCCAGGTAGTGAGTGCAGCGAAGGTGCCCTCAGGGTGGGTGTGGGGGCTGGTTCCAGAGGGCCCGATGACCTCTGGCCCTCGGAGTGACAAAGAGAGTCCTTGACTAGGCGAAACCACAGGCTGTTTCTCACATCCTGTAACTGATAACAATTGAACTCAAACATTATGAAATAGTGCAGAGTAGGAGCCATCACCTAGGGCTTCCCATGGTTCTCGGATCAGTTAACCAAAAACATCTCAAGTGCTTCCTTTTCTTGTTAAAAAGAAAAATGCATTGCACTTCAGAGTTTGTGAAGTGTTATCACATCCTTAGAGCCAAATTCCTGGGTTTGGCTCTGCATTCTGTCACCCGCTGATCCTGCATTCGGTTTCTCATCCATGTGGCCCACTGACCCATTTTGAGTCCAGGAAGGCACCGAGCACCCCCCTTTACTCTTTCCTGGAACACATACCAGTGTCTGAAAGATGAATTAACTGACTGCCCATTCTAAGAAATTGCACGGTAACCTCAGCAGTCTTTAGCCAGATGTCTCTAAGTCATGGTTCCTCCTATTCTCAGAGGTAAAACATGTGGCACTGGATAGATCACTTGTTTTTTTAAATCACATTTGTGTATTCAGATGAGCTAGCAAGTAAGGAGATGCTGCAATTGTTTTTGAACAGTACTCTACAATTAAAGATGGCAGTTTTAGGTACTTGACAACAAGACAGCGCTTGTTAATAGTCCTCAAGATCCCCGGGGCTCCCCCAGGGAATCTCAGAGCCAGCTCAGCGCTTGTTCAGAGGCCTCGGCAATTGAACAGGAGAGATGTTGAAAGCCGGGGGTTCTTTGAGGCGTTCACTCTGTGTTCTACTTTACAAAGTGTGAATCTGTGCCTCCCTCTCAGAGAGAAAAAGCAGCAAAAACTGTTCCCATTGAGATGGGAGTTTTTTGAGCCAGAGACAGAGGACTGGAATTCTAGTTATGTAAAGCAGAATAGAGTATTAATAACGGTTAAACGCAGAGACCCTGTAGTCAGATTCACATCCCCAGCTCTAATGTTCATTAGTTCTGTGACCCTGGGCCAGGTTTTTAATTTCTACATCTCAGGTTCCTGACCTGTAATTTGGGCATAATATTAATAAAAATGGCTACCTTTAGAGAGCTCTTGTGAGGGTCACAAGAATCTATGTATACATGCACAGCACTTAAAACAGAGCCTGCCCCCCTGAAAGTGTTAAATGTAAAGATTTACCTGTTTTTGCTATTCATAATGCCAACTGATACTGGTTTTGCTTTGTGTTTCTTTTTTTCTTTTTAGTTAAACTTTTTAAATTTTGAGATACAAGTTCATACGTATGTGCAAGATATAATGCAGAGAGATCCCATGCACCACATGTCCAGTTATTCCAATGATAACATCTTATAAAACTGTAGCAACTATAGTGCAATACCACAACCAGGAAATTGACATTGATACATGTCAGGTACAGAACATTTCCATCATCACAAAGATCCTCTGTGGTCATCCTGCTTCCCTCTCTCCCTCTCCTTTTCCCTTTCCCTAGGCACTCACTAATCTGTTCTCCATTTCTGTGATTTTCTTATTTTAAGAGTGTGATATAAATGGAATTACACAGTATGTAACATTTTGGGTTTGGCTTTTTTCACTTGGCATAATTCCCTAGAGATTCATTCAAGTTGTTGTGGGTACGATCCTGGCTTCTTGAGTCATTTATTTTTTGGCGTAAGTGTACTCATCTGTAAAATAGGAATGAAGATCCCTGTTCTACGAAGCTGATAACAAGATTAGATGAAAGGTAGGGAAAGTGTTGGATGATAAGCAGGTATTCTTAACAGACTGAAGACTCCTACAGTAAAGATAAAGCTGTTGGTACTATTTTCTGAGTACTTACTTTGTACCAAATACCATGCCAAGCCCTTTCCATGTATAATTCCACTTCATCCTCACATCCTCTCTATAAAACTGCTTCCATTAGCGCCCTTATTTTATAAATGGAGAAACAAGGGATTACACTTGCCTGGGATTTCACAAGTAGCATGGAATGAAAGTAGGAAATCAAATCCATCTTGGTTTAGCTACCATGCCAGACCTCTTAAAAACTCAATTGTCAGCATGTGCTGACTATAGCCATCCCCTCTGTCAAAGGAAAAACGTGCGTCTTGGAAGACTGTAACTTGTTTTTCTGAATATTTTAGATTGTAGTATATTATCTTTTTAATTGTTGGACTCTTCTATTCTGAAAAGTAAAATCAAAATGCTGAAAGGATCTTATAAGTTATGTGGTTTATCACTTGCATTTAGACTTTACAGATGAGATGACTAATGGTCATATTTGTTGAATCATTTGTCTTGGGTTCAGACTAGTTAGTGAAAAAGACAATGTCACTTAGTGACAAAGGATTTCCATCTTCTGATTTGCAGTCTGACATCTTTGCATCATCCTAGACTATCTCACACCCAAGAACTTGGATCTTTTCAGTCTAACACAAACGTTCTGCCTAATCTAAGGAGGAAGACAATGATTCCAAACTCCACATAGTGAATTAACGGCCTGTCTCAGTCTCTAGTGCTCCACCTGGAATATCAGCTGTATTAGGATTCTTGTTCTGTTTTCTTCCCTGCTGTATCCACAGTACCTTGAACAGTGCTTGGCATCTAGCAGGTATTCAATAAATATTTTCTGAATGAATGGGAAGAATAAGGAATCAATGAATGCTCTAAGATCCTAAATGTGAGATGGGTCTAGATATCTACAGGTAGCCTTTGACTGAAAAAGAGGCTTTAAGCTGGAGGTAAGAGCAGGCAGGGCGGCCCAGAGGGCTTGTGGGAGCCACGGTTCACAGAGGGCTTACGAGGCCAAGGGGAGGATGTCAATTGTTTACTGGAAGACAATGATCTTTGGAAACCATTCTAAAGAGTCTGGGGTTTATTTTATAAACAGTGGAGAGATAGTGAAGGTCTGTGAGCAAGGAACAGAGTTATCAAAATATAGCACGCGTGCGTGTGTGTGTGTGTGTGTGTGTGTGTGTGTGTTCAGTTGGTCAGTCATGTCCAACTATCTGGGGCCCCAGGTACTGTAGCCCACCAGAATCTTCTACCCATGGAATTTTCCAGGCAAGAACACTGGAGCAGGTTATCATTTCCTACTCCAAGGAATCTTTCCAACCCAGGGATCAAATCTGCATCTCTTGCATCTCTTGCACTGGCAGGAAATTCATTAGATTATAATACTTTATCAGTATATGGCACTTAATTATATAATACAGTCATTAAATTCAGAAGGAGTTGGAGATGGATGAGGGAGACTGGGACCAGCCCATTCACTTACTCTTATTGTCTTCAAAGTGCTTTTCACCTGCTGAAATCTTGTCCATTTATCTGTTTATCTATTTACCATCTGGCTCCCTGCCAAATTGTCAGCTCAACTCAATGAGGGCCTGGGGACCCTGCCTCACTTGTTCATAGCTTGTCCCTAGTACACAGCGTGGGGTTTGACATATGGTCCACATTCAATACATATTTGTTGAATGAATTAATTAATCATAGAGGCTTCACAAAGCAGTTGGAATTAGAGCTTAGCCATAAAGGTTACAAATAATCAAAGAGAATGGGAAAGGGCATGCCAGACACAAACACTGTGAATTAAAGCAATCCAGTGAAAATGAGCTTTGAAGAGATGGGGTCGGTGAAGCAGTGGACTGCAAGTGTACATTACCTTTGTATCAACTTTCTCTGTGCGTAACCTTTTATCTCTTTATCTGTTTAGTATTGCTCTTCTCCCAGTAAACTGTGACCTCCAGCAGAGCAAGCACCATGCTTTTTCATTTTCTACTATATTCTCAGCACAGTGCTTGGTAGATAGTAAGCACTTAATATTTGTAAAAGGGAAAGGAGGTCATCAGGTAGGTAGGTGAGTAAATGGGTGGGAAGGTTGGTGTTTAGGTCCAACTATATGAAATTACTAATCTTTATTGGTCAAAAATCATTCATTATTGTTTCTTATGTTTCAACCTGTAATTTCATCCTGCAGAGACTATTTTTATCCATTGCCCTGAGGCAGTGGGTTTCAATCTGTCTTTTGTTTGCTGTTTTGTGTTAATTTGAAGCTGAATAGGTTTCTGATAATGGTATCTCATTGTTGAAAGCACAGCAAGCCATTTGACAAGAAAATGAAAAAGCAATGAAGAATTATTAACAAAACTATCATCCCAATAGTCTTTGAGCTCCATGGTCTGGAATTTCACATGCTAGCCACTATTTCAGAACATTCATTGTATGCACTTGCATTTAATTATTCTAGCCATAAAAAAATGTGAGCTGCTATGCACATACATCCAATTAAGTAGATATCTGAATGTGGCTGTTAATAACCTTGAAAATTTATTCAGTTAGAGAAGAAGCCCAAATGCTTCTCCTCTGTTTTATGTCTCCTTGTTACAGTGCAGGGGGAGGGGCACTGAGCAGGCTGTACTAACCTCATTTTGATGATTAAAAAGAAGCAGATCAAGTTACCTTGCTGGCTGAGCTAGGGTTAAACCAAGGTCCACAGTGTTAGCTGTTCCCAGCTGGGTAGTGTATCTGGATACCCAAGCAAATCTCTGGGTAGTTCTTTCTACAGATATTTTCCTGCCTAGAATGATTAGAGACAGCCTATGCATGCAAGATGGAGGGGTGTTTGGAGACCCTGGCTCTTATTCAGGCATCCTATGGAAAGGCTCACAATAGCCAGGTCCCTGTCCTAACACTAGAGATTTCCAGGTGGTGCAGTGGTAAAGAATCCGCCTGCCAAGGCAGGAGACACAGGTTCAATCCTTGGGTCAGAAAGATCCCCTGGAGAAGAAAATGGCAACCTGCTCCAGTACTCTTGCCTAGGAAATCCATGGACAGAGGAGCCTGGTGGGCTATAGTCCATAGCGTCTAAAAGCGTTGGACATGACTGAGCGCGCGCGCCACACAATGCAATATCCTGACACTGCTACCATACTGCTGTGGGATCTGATATATCACGCCCCAACTCTGGGCCCAGACTTCCCATCTGTACAGTGAGGGGTGGATCAGATGATCCTGACATTCCCTCCCAGCTTCCAGCTTGCACTCAAAATTGCAGAAATGTCTGAATACCCAACTGGTTCAGGGAAGAAGGCACAAAAGAAGGAACTGTATCTGAATGTGACCCATGCAAGGATGTGAAGTTCAAGAACTGGGGTGCAATCATCCAACCACCCATTTGACCATGCATCCACTTCTCTGTCCACTCAAGCAGCAGATATCATTATAACAGTGACAGGGAATCCAATACAACAGATGATTCTCACTGTGTACAGAAAGAATTTCCATGAATGGAGAAGGCTTTATGGAAGAAGGAAAGAAGTGAGCATTTTAGCCAGGACCTTGGGGTTGTAATAACACTACTCCATCTCTGGAATCAGGCAAAAATGATTTCAAATCTTGTATCTGCACTTAATATCTAGGTAACCTCAGGGAGTTTTTTTAACTTCTCTAAGTCTCCATCCCTATCTGTAAAAACGAGGGTATCAGCAATGCCACCATCATTGGGTGGCTATGATACTGTAGCTTGAGTACTTAGGATAGGACAGGGCAGTCAGTATTCAATGTTCATTGCTATTATTATTGCAGGTGTAGCTTTAACTGGCAGTACGATTAATGCATGTATCCCCCCGGTTGTGTTTTATAGATTGTAAAGCTGGAAAAGAATGGCATTGGCTACCACTATATCCTTGCAAATCTGGTGAGTAGAGGACACTGCAAGCCCTCAACTGGTGAGTCTTTGCATGTTTGGGGCCTGGCTTGCTACTATGGTCCCTGGCTGGTAGGAACTGCATGTATGGGACAGGCAATTTCAAGCTTCAGCTGTGCCCCTGCAAAACCCACAGCACACTTAAGGTGACTCTCTAAGCTTCCTTGTAAGAGATCACGCTGGTGGACAGGCCTTTATTAGTCATCACAATTCCAGCTTTAATCGACTCTGCCACTTGGCAATAACAAAATCACCACATCTTTGAATAGATACAAGATGCTTTAACCTCACTGGTTTTGATTCTCTGTTTTGACACCAATGATAGTTTTACTGTTTATAAATACAAATGTTTAAATCATAAGAACACTAGCTAGCACTGACAGGTATTTAACCAGAAACAGTTTTATACCATGAACAATGTTATGACAATTTAGTTTATATTCTCTTTTTTATGTGGCATAGATAAGCTGTCATTTAAAGAAAATTTTTACTTTCATTTTTATGTACTACAGTTATTTTTATTGGATGCAATTATTTTGCAGGGTATGAAGACTTGACTCATAAGATAATTTTTGGTACACATTAAATTATTCCTAGTGACATGTATCATTATGAATTTTCTTTGTGGCCATCCATTTTGGCAAGTCTATTTTGGCAAGTCCTGGGTCATGTTTTCTCATCTACCTTTTTAAATTATGAAGTTTGAGACTTCCAGTGTTTCGTTTTGTTTTTTCCCCAAAGCCAAATTTAATTTTACTTTGCCTTGTCTTATTTTTAAAGAGTGTTATTAAGATGCAATTCACATGATGTAAAGCTCATCCATTTAAAGTACACAAGTCAATTCTTTTATGTATATTCACAGAATTATGAAATACCACCACAATCTCATTTTTAAACATCTCTATCATCCCCCAAAAGAAACCCCATACATTAGCAGTTACTCCCTATTTTCCCCCAAATCCTCCAGCCTTTGGCAACCAGTAATCTACTTTCTATCTCTATGGACTTGCCTATTCTGGATATTAGAATCACAGAATATTTGGTCCTTTCTGACCAGCTTCTTTCACTTAGCATAATGTTTTCAACATTCATCCATGTTGGTGCCACATATCAGTTCTTCATTCCTTTTTATTGCCAAGTAACATTCTATTATACAGATGTATCCCATTTTGTTTATCTACACACCAGCTGATAGACACTTGAGTTGTTTTCACTTTTTGACTATTATGAATTCTGCTTCTACAAACGTTTGTATACAAATTTTTCTCTTGAGCACAAACCTAGGAGTGAAATCACTGGGATACATGGTAACTCTATGGTTAATATTTTGAGGAATGCCAAAACTATTTTGTAAAGTGGTTGCATCTCCCAGCAAATTTTTAATAAATAACAAATTTTGCCATGTGACAGTTTGAGCAGTTGTCAGATTTCCTTAATGACAGCTTTTTCTACAAAGTTTGCTTATTATCCTGGCCTTCTTTATTATTTTCTGTGTTTCCTTTAAGATGTGATTTTTTCACTTTTTGCCCATAACAAATTAAATCACTCAGTTTTAGCCATGTTATTTGTGGTAATTATTCCTGTAATATTAACTGAATAAGAGATTGTTATTTTCCTACTTATCTTTAGAATAAGGATCACTAACAGGACAAAGGCACAGGGTCTGGGTATAGTAAAGGTCAAAGTGGTAGGACTGAAAAGTGGGACCAAAATATCTTGCCTAATTCTTAAGCTCTGTCTCTCTTTCTGACTGATCTCCAGCCTCAGACATATTCCTACCTGAACCATCTTTCCCCTTGGAAACTTCCTAGCCTTAGCACTCTTGGTATTTCATGGTCAAGATGAGAAATAAGGACTTATTAAGATAAGTTAATTAAGGTCTAGCTATTAATAGATAAATATGTTACTTTTCTCAGACATACTTGCCTTTTAAATGGGTAATAACCATCCAGACACTTTTGGGGGAACCAAGAGTTGCATCCTCAAAAACCATTTGCAAGGATCAAATTGTTGGCTTTGTAATGAAAAAAACTCTTGACATCCCTTGAATCTCACTTAGATCCTTAATCCTAGAAGAGACTTTGGAAGTCAGCTCTATCTAAGTTTCATTTGCTTACAGGGAAATATTTGCTTATGGTCAAACCAGCAAGGGGGTATGACTTGGCCAGGCTCACACAAGTCAGTGATAGAGCCAGGCCTGGCACCAGGGTTAGCAGGCCTATGCCTTTTCTACTATATCAGGACATCTCTCAGCACAGATCATGCGGGCACCCTGCTGCTTGAGAATACACAGAAAAAGGGTGGGGGCATGCATAATCATCTCTCCAGGATAAGATAGAAATTACACATCAGTGACCTCAAAGCCACCCAAAGACCTCAGGTAATTACATTGCCAGCCTCCATCTGTTGCCAAGTGACCCCTTAGTCACAGCATCACTAAGTCAGCCCTTTGGGTGTCTGTAGCCTTCTGATCTGCATTCTTTTTTTCTCCCCTGACCTAATGAGCTCTCAAATTCTTACAACTGCTAGCTAATAGGATGCAAGTTGCATATACCATCCAAATACAAAAGACTTGCATGTTCCAATAGATTAGTTGATAATTGGGCTTCAAATTACTAATTAATTCAGTTTGAAACAGTGGAGTATGTGGTGTGTGTGTTCTTCTTCCCCCTTCAGAGGAATCATGCAATTTATAAGATGGTAATTTTTAGAAATTCTGCCACATAATTAGCCCACTTCTGCATGGAACTGACCCCCTCCTTCAGCATGCTTGTGATTAGGGTGTAATTATAGAGTTAGAAACTAAGGGAGCTTTTGAAAGGTTTAACAAAGGAGGGAGCTACTTCTTATTTCAAGGTTCTTTCTGTTCCTGTCAGACTGTGTGAACTTCAAAGAAGCCAACAGTGTTCCTGTAACAGGTCACTTTGGAGGGATGCTTTTCTGGGTTTGGAGGGCTACTGGAAGAGAAGACGGAAAGAGAACCCTGGGTCAGGGAGGAGAGCTTTATAACAGGAGTCATTAAAAAAACAAAGAAAGAAAAACCCTACTTTTTGTCCAGACACCATCCTCGGCTAGCTTCTTTGTGATTTTGGGCAATTTGCCAGCACTCAGTTCCCTCACTGAGAATAATAGTTCCTATTCTATGCTCATAGAATCACTGGGAAAGGCCAGTATGTTGCTGAATGCCACCATACCTAGAAAAAGTTAAATTGCTCTACATAGTGGGGAATCCTTGCTTCATATACTAAATGTGCCCATCTAAACATACTCACATGTTGTGTCTGTACGTATATGTGCATGTATATGCCCATGCACATAAATGCTGATGTATGCATTCTTATTTTATATATGATGAATAGATGTATATTTCTATTTCCATAGCATTAGGATGTCCATAAAGTGAACTTGAGTGCATACTCAGTTGCTCAGTCGTGTCCAACTCTTCGCAACCCTATGGACTGTAGCTTGCCAGGCTCCTTTGTCCATGGGATTTCCCAGGCAATACTGGAGTGGGTTGCCATAGAAATTGGTGAACTATACCATTACTACTTAAAGAAGCTCCTGGGTCCTGGAATCTCCTGGAGAACCAAACTCTCCTGTCTGGCTGTCAGGCCTCCTCCAAACCCAGCCCTGACTCAGCTCTCACTCACTACTCGGAGACTGTGATCAAAGCAGACAGTTACCAGCCGGAGCTCTCCAGTTATAGCTCTTATCTCTACAATGCATCAGCAGCAAATCTTAGAACAAACTAGTGTTTCTCAAAAGAAAGATATGTGGACCCCTAGAATGCATCTGTACAGACAGTTTGGGAAACACTGAGCTAATGATTAAATTTTTCAGTCCACTGGGACTGCAAACAAGAGTACTCACAGCGTGAGACAAATGATCAGATAATTAATATTGATGATTGAGTTTCACTGAAATAAATAAGCTCAACATTTAAAAATTCTTGCAGAGAACTAGCAGACCTCTGAGAATTTATAAAGGGTCTACCAGATCCCAGTTTGAGAGGCACTGAAAGGCTGAAGGTATTAGTTGTCTTTCAATATGCAGCAGTTCGTGCTGCCTAGGGCATTCATGGGCTTCCCAGGTGGCTCAGATGGTAAAGTGTCTGCCAGCAATGAGGGAGACCCGGGTGTGATCCCTGGGTCGGGACGATCCCTTGGAGAAGGAAATGGCAACCCACTCCAGTACTCTTGCCTGGAAAATTCCATGGATGGAGGAGCCTGGTAGGCTACAGCCCATAAGGTCGCAAAGAGTCAGACACAACTGAGCGACTTCACTTTCACATTTCAGGGCATTCATAACAATAATAATAACAGCAATTCCTCTCATTTTTCCACCATGTGACATTTTGGCAAGCATCACATCCCACAGTACCCTTATGAAATAAGCAAGGTAGAATCTATCATGGAGAAGGCAATGGCACCCCACTCCAGTACTCTTGCCTGGGAAATCCCATGGACGGAGGAGCCTGGTAGGCTGCGGTCCATGGGGTCGCTAAGAGTCAGGCATGACTGAGCAACTTTACTCTCCCTTTCCACTTTCATGCACTGGAGAAGGAAATGGCAACCCACTCCAGTATTGTTGCCCGGAGAATCCCAGGGACAGAGGAGCCTGGTGGGCTGCCGTCTATGGGGTCACACAGAGTCAGACACAACTGAAGCGACTTAGCAGCAGCAGCAGCAGACTCTATCACCCCCATTTTACAGAAGAGAGAACTGAGGCTCCAAGATGTTACATGACTGAGCTGCAGAGGAGGAAGGCAAGCACTGCTGGTCAATGGAGTTTGGCTGTCAGGAATCTGACAGAAACCAAGTGATGTGATCCTGAGAATAGGATGACCAGGCTAAACTTAGGCCAAACCACTGGAGCCACTGAACTAGACTGCCTTAAGCCCCTAATAAATAACTACAACAGCAATAACAACCGTGATAACTCAGCTATTCACTTTGGGATTGCTACAGTCCAAACACTAAAACTGATTAACC